AGGAATGAAAGCGGGGAAAATGAGTGGATCCGTGCTGACTGGGAGTAGTGGGACTGTACTTTTAGAGGACCAACAAAGGTCTTTTCTGACCAGGATACACATTGACTAATGCTGATATGGTAAAAGGTTTATTGGCTTTGCCAGAACCTCCAGAACTGGGTTTCTGCTTATAGTCTGCATGCTGGGTACCAAACAGGGTACTTTGCAGTTGAGAGAGAGAAAGATAGGAACAAATATAAAATGAAAAGTGGGAAATGGGGCCAGGATTAACTATATCTGCACCTCACTTGTGCAGCCTTTTGCTTTATGCTGTTAGCATCTAGATCCTCTATTAGTAAAAAGTCCTCGGGAGCTTTTGTGCTGCAAGCTAACTGGCAAGCACATTACTGAGCAACAGCAATCCTGTTTCATTAGCTGCAGGATGGAGCCAGGACCCTAGTTAGAGCAGAAATTCTGCCCCAGAGAAGCTGACACCATACCCTTCCAAGAGGTAGAATGGGACCAGTTTGCCTCCTCCATCCTGAGAAGGTCTCCAGGCACTGAAGAAGAAGAGGGGACAGTAAGGAGAGCCAACCAGCAGAAATTCAGATATTATCAAAGGGGAAAAAAGGGGGATTGGCTGCAGCAGACTTTGATTTTGTTTTTGTTGAAAGAAGCAAAGCCACTCTTTTCTGGAATGGTGTTGCATTTAATTTTCTGATTAAACAGTTTGGAGAGTACTGTTTCAAGAGAAGCATTCACAGGAAGATTAAGACACCCAGTTGCCACAGCCTTTATTATTATGAATGATCGAAATAAACTAGCTGGGAATGCCTCCTTAAAATGCTCTGACATTTATTGTGACAGCCACAATTACTACTCATCTGGTTATAAACAGTGCCATTTGTTGTTGTTTCCGTGCTGGTACTATGCTATAGAGCATTAGTAGGATGGATATTGCCCCAGTATTAGAGGGGAAGGAAGAGAAATGGGACACTGCTGCTGAGCTTCAGCATATGACAAGTGTTCATATACAATGTGTTCATTTATTTTTGAGGTGGAGGAGAGGAAGGAGTGATAACTCTGGTTATAGAAAAAGAAGATTTGTGTCTGTAATAGCAACAGTCAGGCATGCAACCTTACAGGTTATTTGTCCCCATACTGGGTGGACAGCCAACAGCGTAAAGCCCACTGATCTTCCTGTGTCACAACAGCGCTTTTATTTGAATCTCTGCTTCTGTCTTTTGCTCAGTCATATTTTTCTTCCTGATGACTGTGAATTGTGCAAGTTGCCATGATTTCTTCCGGGCAACACTTGCGCTTTCAGGGAAGACAGCAAAGGCACTTCCTAATAGCTAATTAGGGCTCCACGTTTTTTTCAGTAGCAATCATAATAAGACAGGAGTTGCCACTCATCAGCAGTCCAGTCAACTGCAGGTCCCAGACAGTATCCAGTGTTAGATACTTCAGCAAAAATTCGAGGAACAGTTGAAGATTAATGTGCTATTCACCGTTCTGCTTTTAACCTATAAATGTAAGGGCATATTTTGCATGTGCAAATGCTTTTTATACACTTCCTAGTTATGCATTTTTCTGGTATTCACGTAAGCATTTGGGTTTTTAACCCTCTAAGCTCTTGTCTTTCATGTTGTTGAAGAGCAATTAAATATACAGTTATATATCACTTATGTAAAATAGTTTTCCTTATTCTATTTTTAAATGTTCTATTTATCATCTGGTTCCTGTATCACGAGGTGGTAAAATGAATCCATCTTCTACCATCTCTGCTTCATATATTTCAGTAATCTCATATGCCTGCAGCACTGCACACTTGGTCTCCTTTTCCTGTAAAGGTTCAGTTGCAGCTCCTAACGGACCTGTATTCTTATGACTTGAAGTTATATTCTCAAATAAACCTTTACATGGCATTAGTTTCCATGTACTATTTCAGATATGGCACTGTCCCAGTATCACCTCTGTGCCTACATTTTGTCTGATTCACAAGCTTTACGACCAGTATCTCCTCAGTAGTGTAATTCTGGCACATCTTACATTCTCAGGATGCAAAATCAGCAGGATTCAATGAAAAAAAAATAAAACAGCTGCTATCTAATGTTTATCCGGTGAATTAAAACAACTTTTTTTTACTAATTAACAGCATCCCTTGGACAATTGTGTATTAATATTAATTACAAGTGTACTATTAATTTGGCTGGATTTAACTTACTGGATTTTTCCAGCTGGTAGGAATATGAAAAAAAATGCCTTTTTTTTTTTTTTTTAATATTTGATCACAGCTGTATACAATCTGTTTATTTTGTCAGGTGAAGTTTCAAAACTATGTGTAATAATCCATGTTTTGAGTATTAATGATCTACATTCTGCTATAAATACTCTTGTATCTCCCTTGAGTCCTTTACATAACACTGCGAATTTCCCCTTCTGTATTACCAAGGCCCTATATTTGTGATGCAGTCCTCTTTTAATATCCAGCACTATGTGTGTGGCCTGAATTCCTTCACCCAAAACTGACATCAAGTTACAAGGAAGGTGACTTGAGGAAATACAAGGAAAGCTGAGTTAACCACAGAACGTAATCTCTGTACCTGTTCTGCTAAATTGTCTATGAAGAGCACTCAGCTCATCAGATGTTAACTTTTGAATACATTTATATGGAAATGCTACTCTAGCTTCAGTGTAGACATCCCTGACGTAAACTTGAAGTAGATAGATGTGAAGCAAAATGCAGACTGCGAAAGCGAAATATTTGAGGAGTGAGCCTGTTAATCTTCTTCTGCAGCTCCACTTAACTTATTTCAAGTTAGTTTGAGTATGTCTGCACCAAGTCTAGGTGCTTACATACTCAAGACAGCTGCCAGTGTATGTCACTGCAATATTACAGAGGACCCAGTTTTAAGTGTGGGAGACTGCAGCAAAGAGAAGTCCTTTTGGGCCTGAGCTTCTGAATTTCTTAGTCATCCTGTATAGTTTCAGGCACTCCTCTTGGGTGCCTACATCAAGAAAAATTACCTCTCTAGCCTGTTTTCCATAACTGACTGAGAGAAAGAAACACTATCTGAAGTGATTCGGCCCATCTGGCATTAAAATGACCTTCCAGATAGGTGCATCTGCTGTACTGACAATATAGAACACATACAATGACTGTGGTCTCAAATTAAATACTTCAGTCTAACTAAATTCAGTTGATGTCATCCAGCCAGAGGGGTTCCTTCTCCCCACTGTTTGATTACTTTATTATGTGGATTAATTTCATTAACCAGGTGTTTATGGAGGTGGATAAAATAGATGGCAGAAAAATATTATCACAATATTGGTTCTTCATGAAAATCTCTTTCAGAAAGAGGACAACAGAGATCCAGAACTCCTTTGAAGTTTAGTAGCGATCCGACGGTGAACTCATGGGCTTGGACATTTTGTTTAGTTGCTTTTCATTTGCACAATCAGATCACTTTAAAGTGCTACTGAGTTTGTATATATGGCTGTAAGCTGGGTGTCAGGTACAGATGGACGATTTCAATTGGCTCGGCTTGAATAATAATGGTGAATTGCAATGATATATTTCATCCCCACTGCACAGCAGCATAGTGGAGCTTCAGTGATGCTGTGGCTATGGAATCCTTAGAAAATAAAGGGGCAGAAAAATCTAGTAATAAATCATCTGCCTCCTCCAGCTGCCCATGTTCCTCCCTGTCTGCCATTATTTTCATGTTTGCCCAGAAACTTCCCTGACACCTGTTCTGGGATGAGGAGGTCAACTGTTTCCGATAGTTCTGCTATTTTTCAGTTATACGTCACCAACAGAGATTCACTATGTCTGTACACATCTGTGTAGAGACACACCACATTCTTTCAAAAAGAAACATAATGCCAGTGGAATTGCAAAAAAAACCCCTTCGCTAAGTAAAAAGGGAAATAATATTTGATGCTTCTTGAAATCACAAAACAAATCCTATTCACCTTATGCACATGAGTATTGAAAACCTTGTTTTACTCAAATAGAAACTTGAACAGAATTTGACTTTATAGTAGCTTACAGCATCTTTTATTGCTGTGGTTACCTTTGTGTATAGATAGTAATTTTTTTAAGTATTAGTTTAATAAATATTCTTTCTTTCCTTTTTTTCAGGATGTGAATTTATCCTGAAAGAAGAGATATTCTAATCTTTAAGGGCAGTGGAGAGGAAACTGAAGCAGGGGGTGGTGTGGTCATTTTTAGCACCAGAAGCTTCCTGTGGAGCAGAGGTGCTCTCATTTCAGTGGTCACAGAAGGCAGTGGGGAATCTGACATAAATAAGTTTTAGTTCAGGTCACTTCTTTCCCTTTGCCTCAGCTCCTTGTTCTGGAAAAGAAATTACAATTATTTTGTCCTATTAGGCACATTGTCATTTTAGGTTAGGAATTATCAGGATTGTGTTGCATTATGCATTTGTAGTGCATTGGGTTTGTGATTTTGGCTCAGTTTTCTAGTTATTACAATAACACAAACAGCTAATAATAAATTAGAGATTATTGTGCAAAATATAGTCAGTCATGCAAGTCAGACCAAATTCTCTACATGAGAAGCCTCAGAAATGGGCCCTAATAAATTAGTGAACAGTTTATGTTCATTGAGTTAATGTTCAGGAGGGAAAAAGGTAACTTTAAATCATTACATATTTTCAGCTATGTCTGTTGAGTCTCTTCAATAATCAGGTTTATACACCATTTAAAATTAATAAATGCAACTAAATGCAAAAAATACCCAGCCACGATCTTAAGGTATTCCAACCACTGCAACACCTTCCTTTTCAGAACCAGAACACTGCGTATTAATAAGGAAACTTTTATTTAGAGCTGGATATGTCAGATCTTTTTTTTTCTCTATTCTGTTTTCTTTTGGACAGGATCTGTATCATCAGTCATATGACTGTGTCTGTGTCATGTTCGCCTCTGTTCCGGATTTCAAGGAATTTTACACAGAATCTGATGTAAATAAGGAAGGCTTGGAATGTCTCAGGCTGCTAAATGAGATCATTGCTGACTTCGATGATGTATGTACTTCTAACAACAATCAACATATAGTTTCAATCTTAATAACCCAGTGTATGCAACAGTAAGCAAACATACTTGAAAGGGAGAGTGGAAGAGCTGGTAGAAAATAAATTTTGTGTGCATAGTCACGTGGAAATTACTTACAGGGAGTATTAAAGGAAAAAGAAATTTATTTGGGATAAATCAGATATTGATCTGACATCATACTCAGTTGCTTTTGATTAGCTATAATGAGAATCCTATGTGTATATCTGATGGAGCAATTTTTGCCCTTTAGCTGCAGTTCATAAGGCAGTCATATTATATGTTATATATTAACTACGGTTTCTAAATACTGGTGCCTAAAGTCAGGTACGTAAATCTATGTCTCCTAAAATCACAGAGCTTTGTGTTATACCCGATCTGTGTTGGTCTCATTATACAGAGCATTGCTCAGTTGATACATAACTGACTCAAAGGATTGTATAAGTTTTAATATTCCATCCTCTGAAGTTACAAGCAAATGCAGAGTATGACTACAGATTGATTGTGAAAAGGCAGCTGTAAAGGTCTCACTGAGAACAGTATTTGTCTTAAAGAAAGTTATTACTGACGAAGATACTGCAAAAAGGCATTGACATCGTGTCATGACTCAGAGAGCACGGTCTGGATTTGTGGATCTGCAGCTATAGAGGGTATTTTAGCAGCAAACCCATTTGGAGAACATTGGAATGTTCAAAACAACCTGGGATACAAACTAAAATCCTTGGATTTTAGTCCCATTGGCATGGACCGTCCCATTGGCATGGAAGAGATGCTTACTTTCAGAAAGCTGCTTAAAGCTTAACTGTTGGCTCACATAGTGACTCCGTTCCAATGTCAAAGTCTACTGACTTCTAAGAGCTGTATATAGAGTAAGGTGGAATTTATTCTCATTACTATAAATTTAGTCCCTTTAATAAAAAGGTATTTTAGCAGACAGAAATCCCCTTTCCTTGGAGGCTGTAACCATTGTTTTATCCATCCTTAAGTCCTCCACCCTGTATATATTTGTGAAGCCATTTGGTGTCTATTAAAGAAACTGTTCCAAGAACTGACGCTCTCGATGCTGTTAGAGTAACAAGGCTGCTGTTTTGAATAATGAATAACTGTCCTTGTTTTACAGTTATTGTCAAAGCCAAAGTTCAGTGGAGTTGAAAAGATAAAGACCATTGGAAGCACTTACATGGCAGCAACAGGATTGAGTGCCACACCCAGCCAAGAACAGTGTCAGGTACAGGAAAAGGTTCCTGCTTAATAAAAAACATGTTCCAGTGAAGGCTCAAATTCTGTTCATTAAACTGCAGGTTATTAATAATGTTGTGGCCTAGTTTTTTTCTTATTATTGTAGATTATATTGTACTGGACAAGTGTATACTTTTGTTTAGAGGTCTCTGTGAATTATTGTTCTTCACACTGTGGTTTGAAAATGCCACCTCTGTATTTGCTAAGTCTAAAACAGGCCTTCTACTCAAAATACAATACAGCATTTTATTGCTACATGCTGCAGCAGAACTGGATTTATAGAGTGTACAAAAGATTGCAAGAATGAGTATGTTCCATAGGAAGCTGGGAGGGCTGAGTAGCCGTATTAGCCATACAGAACCCTCGGGCTCAGCACTGAGAACGTGGTCTTTTGTTTCTGGTTTATGTAATAGGGTGGGATTGGGAACTGCAGTCAGTAGAAATAAAGTTCAGAGAAGCCATTCATAACTTTTAAGCCAAAACCCTGCTTTTGCCATGATCTTTAGAGTACTACAGGTTAGCAACAGAGAGGCAGCAATTATGAATCAACACATTAGCTGCTAAGGATTAATGTGTTCTTGCCAAACTCATGTTCCTTCTAGACAGAAGCAATTAACATCTGAACTATAGACCTTAAGGATCCTGAGGACAAAAAAAAAAAGAATGATTTTAAATTAGCTCTGACATTTAATGCAGGGAGGTGAAGGGGATGAAGGAAATGCAGAACTGTAGACTGGAGATGAGAAGACAAAGAGGATCTCTCAATCACAACTTAAAACTAGCATGTGCACAGGAAGAAATTTATCGTTTGAGTTATTTCCACAACCTGTGAATCAAGAGATCCAAGTTTTAGTGTTCCTTTGGTGATATCGTACACATTTTCAAAGGAAATCCACCAAAACTCACAAGCTTTCAGTGCAGATGGCCAAAGATCCATGGATAACTGCAGTACCTAGCGTGGCAGTGGCTGACTGCTCAGCATGCTGCTGGGACCAGGTCCCAGCTTCAAACGAGCACCCAAGGAAGACTAAGTGCCTAAGGAAGGGGATTGAATACATCAACTGAACAGGGAACCATCTGTCTTAGCTAGGACTGAAATCCAAAGGAAATAGACTTTATTCATCTAAACAGCTGGTCTGGCAAGTGCCCCTATTGTCCCACCTGGGCTGATGCGTCTATGAATCATGTCCCAAAGTTGTCATCTGTCCATCTCTTCTGTCACTTTATAGCAAGTAACGAAGAAGATTCAGTCATTTCTCGTAGACATCAGTGAAACCATCTCTTATGAAATCATTTTCTTGTCAGGGTCCTACCCTGGGCTGTGGGATCCTGAAAATCAATTTTCTCCTCAGCCTGAGCGGACTAAAAAGAGTACTTAGAAATCAGGCTACACCGTTGACGTATGAGGAGACATTAAGTCTATAGCCTTTAGAAGTGGTACAAGCTTTGAGCTAGTAAATTGGGGGACAGAGGATGGGTTGCCTTCTTCCTCTCTTCCTCTTGTATTTTATTCATGTTCAGGTCTATTAGATGTTCTCAGCGGTGCTTGCTTATCTACCAGGTGAGATCAGTGGAGGCACTCTTAAAATTGTGAATTTCACTGAAGCTTAACCATTAACTAGGGTGTCGAGCTGTGCTACAGTGAGAGGCAGAAGTCTCTGTGGGTCTGTTCACAAGCATTATTTATTATTAAAGGGCATAAAATAGAAGCAAACACTTAGAGAAAATTAATGAGCAAATCGTAGGCACACATAGACACTGAGTGCCTGTGAGGTTATATAGCAGTTTATGGGTTATTTGACAATCAAAACATTAGATTTGACATGTTTTGGATCTGTCATCTCTAGACTGCCTGACTGTGTAAGTAAAATACATCCTGGTCTATTGGCCATTGATTGATCTAACTGATGCCAGACAGGGCACCATCTTCTACATTAATTTTCTTCTGCTTCCTCCTGGCATTAGCACATCCCTAAGGGTTTAAGTGCTTTCAAGTGTTCAGGATATTTTAGTTGTATTCTCTTAGCAACTAAGGCTAAGGAAAATGATTTTATTCTGTTTGTTTGACTGTTTAAATTCAGGAGCCTGAACGACAGTATATGCACATAGGAACCATGGTGGAGTTCGCCTTTGCCTTGGTGGCGAAACTGGATGTCATAAACAAGCATTCATTCAATGACTTCAAGTTACGAGTAGGTACGTATCACAGGATTTTTATGAGAATGTATCATGGAAGAAGGGGAGAATTCATTGTGAAATAGCAGCTGATTAAAGTGTTAGCAGAACTGAGCAAAAAGGCCATGATAGTAAAGAGCACCATCTTTACCCTCTTTAAACGCAGCCTACGTGGTATTGCTGTTAACCATAGCTGCTGTAGCAATGTTTCAAGGCAGGACTCAGAAAAGGGCACTATTCCCAAGTAAAGAATGGTTGAAAAATACATTCCCATGGCTCTGAATTGTTTTATGGTAACTCTATAATAATTATTCTAGAGTTTGTTTGTTAACCTCATACATTTTTTAAGCTTATCAGTACCAAAGGACACACGAAGACTCTAGACGGGGCTTTATAAAACCACTTAAATAGTTTTGGAGGACAGGAGCTATAAGGGGCCAATGAGGCTGAAGTTTGAAATATTTTATGTATGTATGTACTAAACTCAAGCAAGAATACAAAATTCACCCTTTCCTTCCCAATGTTAGACAAAGGAGGATAATTCTCTTTGTTATTCTGTGGTTATTGACAAGTAATAGCAAAGAGGACCAGTTGTTTATATTTGAAAGGGATATCCCTTATATTTCAGCCTCTAATTGTTTCCACTTGTGCATCATGGTATTTTAAAAAAGATATAGGCAGCTGCAGTAAGCCACGGAAAGCATGATGAAATAAATGAATTCAGAGCTGGTCAAGAACCATATGTTCCAAAATGTTTATTTCCTGATAGCAGTACACAGCAGTTTTACAATGCAATATGTAACTTGAAAAGTGTGAAATGAAAGCAGTAAATAAATATTGCAAACCCATAAATCCTGTAAACATGTCAGAAGTATTGGATTTCTAACAGTTATTCTCCTGTCTTGTCTTTTTCTTGCTGCACTGCTTGCTATTCCTTTCGGCTTCTCCTTTCATGTTTATTTCACAGTGCCACCCACTGGCAAAACTTGCTATCTTCTGACTTGAGATATTCCTGTGCTCCTGAGAGCCCTTCTTTGCCAGTATGTTTCGTATTCCTCACTAGAGTTAAAAAACGACAAAGCAAATCTGAAGTATGCTTCCTTCTCGGAGTGTTACAGAACTGGATGGGTTTAAAAGAATCGTGTAGCCATCTATTCCTGTACAGAATAAAAGTTTTTCTTGCCATAGATGACACATGCCACATACTTGTGAACATATCAGCAGTGTCAGTACAGATAAAGAGCTCCTCAGTGTCAGGGCTAAATCCGCAAACTGATTAAAGCATTACTGACTGCTTTAAAGTGGGGACCATGAAGCAAACTTTCTAGGGGAAAAAGAAGATACCTGCTTATGATTTTTAAAGTGTTTGCTATAGGTTCCAGAGAAGTCAGACTCCTTTTCTTCATGAAATGAGGAATGATTAAATCTACAAAGGGACACAGGCCCTAAACTGGCACTTCTGCCACCTTAATCCAATATAGGCACCACTGAGATCTTCACTTCCCATCTTCACTTCACTTCTTCTCCACTTCCCACCACCACCTGGCCATGAAAGCATCTGATATCCATAGCAATTAGAGCCACAGAAACATTTGAGCATCTACCTCCCACATAATCCCTGCTGCAAGAATTTAAATCCACACTGCCATTTGTAAAAATCTTCCTCAGCCAGCATCTAAGCCTGGAATTGTTGCAACTCACTAGAGGGCTCAGCTTTCAACCTTCATTTTCTGAGTGCCTGAAATGCTAGTTGTGCCTTAAGAGGTACACAGCCTACCCTGATGCTGTCAGGCAAGGGAAGGGAGCACCTAGATTGTATTTCAGGCACTCCTCCCCTTCTGTTAGCTAAGGTGCTTGATTTGTTAGACAAGCTCAGATATGCTTTTGCGGCAAGTTTTGCACAGGTACTGCTTTTTTCAAAACAGAGGCTGACACGTTGTTTTCCATATAGCTTCAAGGTTAGAACATTTGTCTGTGTTGTAGGTGAACTCAATTTGCTTCCTGCTTTTGGTTGAGGCTGCTCAAGCACAGGGATCTCTGTTCCCTGGAGAATGCTATAAGCCCAGGCTGTACATACTTTGGAATGAGATATTCTCTCTCTGTACTGCTGAACAGTATTTGCTGAGCAGTCTTTGCCTTTTCATGGAATAATTAAATGTCACTTTGGAGACAAGAGAAGGAGACAGATGGTATCATTAGAACATTCACCTAGATTGAGAGTACTACTCTTCCAGCCTTGCCCCAACAAGCATTCATGTGTGTCATGCGAAGAAGACGCGCACTAGCAGAAATGACATAGAGCAGCACATCCCAGAATGCCTGGGTGGCAAAAACACATTCCTAAGAGATACGGGTAGAAGTCTCCCCAAAGGAGGAGGGATCTGAAGCTGGCTCTCCAGCCCCTGAGGTGTTACTCAAACCATCAGCAGTGGTGGTTCAGGAAGGAGGTGGAAAAAAACCCACAAACTCACCTCCTGCCCATTGTATTTTGTAGGAAAGTCCCACCACACTGTCCATTTCTGGACCATGGCAGAGCGTATGCCACACACATCTCTTCAGTATTCCCTACTAGCCAGCTTGGGCTACTCAGCAGGTGGCTTTTGTGGATTCCACTCCCAGGTCCCTCATACTTTCTACACCTTGGATGTCGTGAGGCAGAAATACACACGCATGACTTGGTGGTTAATACGGACTGTTGCAAGGCCCAAATCCCTTTGTGCATTTAACTCCGAGAACTTAGACAAATATTTATCAGGTTCTATCTGGTATCCTTTAGGGTTTGCATATTTTCTAAATTTAACTGCTACAGTCACTTTTCCCAGGGTTTCCAGGTGGGCCTATAGCCTGGTTGTTAGCCCATGCTGCCCTGTTACATATGATCCGTACTAGATGAGCCAGCCCTGAGATGCCTCCCCGTGCTACACTCACACTTTCATTCTGCTGCATAGATATCTATCCCTAGTGACGGTTTCTGTCAAGGAATTAATAGATGTCAGTTATGATCCATTGCTGTGGAGGTAATTTTAGAAATCCAAACTACTGACTTATCTAGGGTTTATTTCTCACTAGGTCTAACTTGGCTTTCGTGCTCACCGGTATGTATAGTTACAATTATAGCATATTTGACACTGGTTAACAATAGCGCTTTTAATTTTGCCTCCTAGTTTCCTTCCCTACTAGTAGAGTACAACTCACTCCCTTTACAAATGTAACGTAGGATACAAACTGACTGTCCAGAGTCTAAGGAGAGACTACACTATGTTGTTCTTCACTCTTACAGTGTGCATTTCAGAGGTAGCAATTTGTTACTTTTACTCCATGATTAATCAAATTATTTGAATGCATATATTTATATTGCAGTTATTTAGGACCACTGTATGGGCAATCCTGCCTTCAGAACAAGGCTTCAAATCCTTCCAGCTCATTCACATTAGTTTATTCTACATTTAAGAAGCAAAGAATACTGTAAAAGTCATTTGATTTGGCCATAAACTATTGCAGAGAGGAGAAGCCCTTTTCACTACAAGTAGAAATGAAATTATTGTATATCTGTTTTCCCAGAAGCTGCTGCCCTCCCACAGTGTGTTCCTCATGCTATCTAATAAAGGCAGTAGCAGGTTATTAGGATACTAATGGTTGAAAATATCAAATTTATTCAGGATGGGAGGGAGCTGTAAAACTAAAATTAGAACTAACTTTTGGCATTTTTATAACTAACATCCTCCTGCTGTAAATGGTTGCTAAAACAGTTGTGAACAGACTATTGGTTGCTGTACTCACTATGCAGCGTGGGCCAAATACCATGTTCATTGACTTAATATGGTACTAGATGCACTGTGTGTCCTTGTTTGGTGGATCTTCTTTTTTAATGTTAAGTTCTGATGTCTTCCAGGTATCAACCATGGACCTGTAATAGCTGGAGTAATTGGAGCTCAAAAACCACAATATGATATCTGGGGCAATACAGTAAATGTGGCCAGCAGGATGGACAGCACTGGGGTCTTAGATAAAATACAGGTAAGTCTTGGTTTTGTGCTAGTATTTACCTTAATCCTTTAAGTTTGGTGCTTAAAAAATGTTATATATTTGTACACTAAACAGTTCTGTTTTTTGGAGCTAAGGATGCCTACAGAAAAAAATTACCTACCAGCTGTACCTGTACATTTCAAAAGAATTAGAGCTTGGGCAGGAAAGTAAAGAATTAAAAGAAAATTACAGGGACAATGGGACGAGAATCAAAACTTTGTCTTGACCCTACAGAGGAATACGGTGGAGGAAATCATGGGTTGCCTGGAAATGCATCCCTAGATTAAGAGAGGATTTCAGGGAAGTCACATTTCTATTCGGTGAATTTCTAAACTCATAAAATACTAGTTACCTTATCTCTAAACAGCATTCCTGATGTTAATTATTTCTAAATAAAGGAAATTACCATAACTGCTGTACATCAAGTTAAATCCATAAAGCAATCATGAAACTTCCCTTTTAATGAATCATGCTGATTAATAATCTTTATAGATAATAATCTGTATGGATTATAGATAGATCTCTATAGAAAAGACCTTCAGTTTACTAACTTTCCAGCGATTCAAATTTAAGTATCTGCCTAGTATGCTGCCTAGCACTTTGGGATCCCAGCATGTGCTTGAGAGCACTCCAAATCTGTGATTGAGACTATTCAGAACTAAATAATGGAAAAGTACAGTTACAAACTGTTGGTCAAAACTGAAAACAGAAGGGATATGAAAGCAATGACATCTACAAACAGTTGCTTGCTTCACAAAGAAACGGAGACAGTCTGAGACAACTGATGCTGTTGAACAACCTCCGTCCTAGTGGGCTTTCACCGAAAAAGGCAGAACTGTTTGGTTCAGAAGTTTGGTTCATTGCCAGTTATGCAAGAAACTGGCAAGAGCAGCTCTGACAGATGATGCTAATGTCTTACTATCACTTCATTCACACAGCCTTAGAATTTGCAAAAAGATGGGGAAGCTTGGGTCTACTGAAATGAGAAACAGGTCCTGAAGTTGAGAAGAATGCTATATGAGGAAGGGTGTTGTCCCTAGAGCCATTTGTGTATCTGCGAGCCCTCTTTGGAATCCTAGGTGCAGAAATGGTTATACCCAATTTGATACTTGATGTAAGCAGTTAGAATCGGCATCCAGCAACAGGCTATTTGAAAGTTCAGGTGGTCAAACCTCACTTGAGACCTGTAAAGGCCTTGTAAGCATTATAGCAAAACCCTGATAATTGCTCAGAACATATGTTCTCATCACGCTCTGGAAGAAGATTCTGCTTTGCTCTGTTATCAATGCTGGTTGTATTACTGTATTGTTGCAGGTTACAGAGGAGACAAACAATGTCCTGCAAACACTGGGGTATATGAGCACTTGCAGAGGAATAATAAATGTAAAAGGAAAAGGAGAATTGAAGACATACTTTGTACATACTGAAATGACAAGATCCCTTTCACAAGGGAACGTGGCATCTTGAAGATTGCTTGTACGTGTCATCAATACCATATTTTCAGGAAAGTATCACGCACTTTTTAACTACATTTTGGCCCTTAACATGCGTGCTATTTTCTGGTATGTGGCACTTATTTTACTATGGCTGCAGAATAGTCCCATGAGCCATCATTTTGCACCTTGATTTCCTATGTTCAAGGACAGTTACGATGTACGCTATAGGACTGGAAGATTGTACTGCTACTTGCACTGTTATTCAAAGACAAGAAAAGAAGGAATAGGAATTAAAAGGCGATAACTCATCCTGAAAGGACTAAAAAGAGATGTTAGTGACAAATGCGGGGAAAAAAGGCAATAAAGCTAGGGGTGCATACTATTTTCTGATGCATGGTGTTTTCGGGAAAATACAGTCGCTCCCCAATAGCATCCACTAATCTGGTATTAAAGTATACAGTATTTGTAAATAAGTTTACTCTGTCCACACATGATTTGGATGTGATCACCAGTTGCATCTCATAGCCAGGGACACGTTGGGTGGCTTGCTGGCATTCTTTCTGAAGAGAGAACTAACAATGCTGGAATAGTTTTGTACAAACGTGTCAAATGTTTTGAAGCTATCGTCTTTTGTAAGGTTAATTCATTAAAAGTTTATATGTACTTTGTCTTACTGTTGCTGTCTCTTAGTTTTGCTTCCTTCCCATTGCTTCTGTCGCTTTAAACCTGCGCGTCCTCTGCTGCTGCCGCTGCTGCTGCTTTTTAGTCAGCAGTTAAACGTTGAGGCAGGCTATGGCCAGCTATCTCAATGGCCTCAATAAATAATATCTGCTAGACTTGCTATTGCCTTTCAGAAATCAAAGCACCCCTATTGTCTTCAGTCTTGGGTGGCATCCTAGGCACTTGGCAGTCATTTACTCCCTAGGTGATACAGAACACTTACCTCAGATCCACAAACACAAGCAAAACGGGGGATACTGGAGACAGTAGTAGTGTTGCTACTTTGCCACTGGTCTGCAATGCTTAAACAATAACTAGGAGAAGCTGTAGGAGAGAAAAAATGTTTTGTTTGTTTTGCACTTTGACAACCTCTTTTGCTCTTGCATGCCTTTCACTTAACCTTTACAATGCCGGATTTTATGGGATGTTTAAAATAACCTAATTTATCAAGACATGAGTATGAGTGGAAAGTACAAAAAATGCTACTTTGTGGATATTCAAGATTAATTTAAAACTCGTTGAATTAAAAAGTATCATGCTTGTGGAGTTTCATACAGAAGCCCGGTGAAAGACTGATAAAGCAGGTAGTTGTACTATCTATGCTCTTTTGAAGCATAGGTAGTACAGATTAATTTTTACTTTGCTATAATGAGTACTTGAAATTAACAAATTCTTTTAGTCATAACAACCTAACAAGACCTAAATTGATAAAATTCTCTTATTTACAAAATAGCATATAATTACAAGATTTTTTTCTGACTGCTATCTTACGAATATCTTATAAGTAAACTTATGCACTATTAGCTCTGGCATGCTAGGAAAATGTAAAAAGTATTGTTTTCTCATTCATAGAACATATATTTACATTTATGTTATATTGGTGTCCTTTCAGAAGGAGTTCCCAAAACTGAGGCTCTCAAATAAAGGTCATCACAGCACAGTCTCACTGACCGTGGCACAGTTTACCACCGGTAGCCATCTGCCCACTAGCAAATTCGAATGGCAGTAGATTTCAAAATGCCTACATCTGCAGTGAAATAGACAATCTGAATTTCGATCCCTTTAAGTTAGTCTGAAATCAAAATGCAAGTTATTCCAGTTATGTCCAACATAACACACTTGACGTCTCACCCAGAGCTGGAGACTTTTGATCAGTAACTCTCCAGATAGGTGCTCAGTCTAATAAAATCTCATTAAAAACATTCTGTTGTCTTTATGATTTCTTCCTTTTAATTAATAAGTTAAGATAAATATTTTCCAGTGGAATGAAAGACTTTCCAAATAGCTCACATGGCTGCAGAAACAATGTCTCAGTCATTGCCTACAACAAGCTATCATTTAGCTCTGCTTTAAGACTTCTAAATCCCTCCTTTCCACTTACTATAAATTTGTCATAGGAACACAGAAAAAAAAATTATTAATCTCTTAAACTTTGAATGTACTTTGGGCCCTTAAAGTCATTCTGGTATTATCAGAGGTTAAAGCAATCATTTCTTACTGTGGATGAAAACCCTTTATGTATAAAAGGTGATTATATTGTATTGTCATATCTATGTGCAGCTGTCAGGTATAAACTGTACATTCAGGATTTTGCTTTTCATTTGTATTCTTGCACATCAGTAGCAAACCTTGTACCTAACTTGATAGCCTTGCTTCTATGATTTTGATAAAAGTTAACCAATATTATATTTCTGTAAGCCATGAAACGTTAAAACATTTGAACGGCTGTGAGCTGACTGGTCCAATGAAATATAAAGAAAGATATATACATGCCCTCCAAGATCATGTTGAAGATGACCTTGTTCAGAGCACTCATGTTTCACTGGTGTTCTGCTCTCATTTTGTAGTTGCATTCAAATTCTTGTAGCCAAATCCTGCTAAAGAAGAAGAAAGTGGGCAAAAGATGATTATACGTGCAGTATGATGTCCAAAGAAAGGTGCATACCATCCTCTCTCTAGCCTTCAGTTGCTGAGTATTATTATTATCTTTCTAGTGCCGAGAAGCTATTTGTATCCAATAAATACTTTTTGTCTTCCAATGCATTTTACATCTACTGTTTATACTGTTTTATTTTTCCTCTGTCTAGATTGACCCGGAGTTCTTGTATCCTCTTTCTTCCTCTCCTGCAGTGATTTTATCTGCCTTAATAACTGGATATAACACTGTTCATGTATCAGTGTGTAACTTGAAAAGCTTTATGATAACCATACAAATCAGTATTTGCCATTCCATATATTCTACATCACAGTAAGGCTCAGGTTCTACAGCTTCCATGTTGATGCCATAGTTCATAGGTCACTAGTGAACCACAAAGGGCATGACTTCAAAAAGTACGATGCAAATGTATTTCATACCGTGAGGCAGCAGCCAAAAGATCAATATAAGGGTGGTTCACTGTGGTCTGGGAAAATGAAATCCAATGGGAACACCTGGGGAGCCTGCTGGATTTCTTTTTCAAAGTCAATGCTTTGCTCCAATTCATGGAGGGCTACCAAAGGACAGGAAGAAAAATCAAACTTGCAAATATTTTTGTTAACTACAAACATAGTTAGGATTACCTGTAAATTGATGCTATTTAGCTGCTGTTTCTAAAAAGAGGCATTAGCATCTTAATTATGCTGTATGAAAAGCCTTTTTCATTCTCTTTGTATTTCTTTATAATTCCTCTATTTTGTAAAGTATCTACAGACCTTCCCTTTTTCCACCAAGGCACAGGTAGGAGTTCAACCTGCTTATTTCTAAAGAGACAGCTGTGTGCATCTGAAGGTAGAGCTGTTGAAAGTCTGTCCTGTTTTGTTTTCAGAGCTTCACAGCAGGACAAATAATTAGCTAAGTTGTCAGGATGCTTTATATAGCAGCAGATTCACTGTTAAAAGCAATGATTACCTTGTCCTTTGAGATGTAGTTTTCCTTTTGGTTGTACTTCTGTATGATGATATTTTAATTTTTCATTTTCAGATCGCATATTCTCCTTCACCTAACCTAGATACTGCCCTTCAACACTTTTTACAGGTGGACCCCAAACAATTTTATGACTAGGGCCTTTTAGTTTTATTCTTCCTTTCTTGTCTAAAATAGTGGAGTGACTCTGGGGAAGAAACGGATGTAGAATGAGACATAAGTGCCTTAAATAAAACATGTAATTAAGAGAGTGGTTTTGTTCCTTGAAGTACTTCAAATTTGTGCGGATTTGTCAAAAGTGGTGTATAAATCAGATGTAGCTGGTTCACCCTAAAGTTTGCTACATACTAATTTTAAACATTTTCAAATTTAAGGGCAGGAATTAATCTGCTCAATGGAGTTATTAATATGTCAAAATGCAAGATGAGGACATTCTAATTCTGTTTGGAACTATGAAGATATGACCCCCTTTTTGTTGTAGGATGCCACTGCTCAAAGCAAAGATTCTGCCAAGAATAGTTTGAAAATTTTTGATGGAGTATTTTTTAAATATATTTGTAGCCATTGAGATGCTTTTCCTGAAAATCTGGAAAAAAATGCATGTGAAGTATTTTGAGAGATTGACATTTCATGAGTAGAAATTTTCATGTTTGCATTCCAAAACAGTGTTACAAATTACAATTGTTATGAAAGTAATGTCCTCCTCATATAAATAAACTCTACTTACGGAGAGGGTTATTGAACAAAATATTCATCTGATTTGGTGAATTGGAATATCCATTCAGCAGGTATCAGTCAGCATACAAATAATAGTTGAAATTATATCAGTTAACCACTTATCATTTTATAATTCTTTTTCAGTTATTAAAATAAAAATAATTATCATATTTGAAAAGCATAATTCTCCAGTCCAGCAGTTGAAATTGTAGTCACAGGCCAACAAGGGAGTGTTTGCAATCTGCAGACCAAGGCTCAAACATAGTAACTGTGTAGATGATTATTTGAAACAACAGATATATTCAGGGAAAATTAAAAAATTTCCTGAGTAGCTCATGAACAAAATAAACCAACCCTGAAGACTGCAAAAGGTGTGCTGACTTCTGCATGTGATATACAGTTTTCTCTGTCTCCTTCAGAGGCAGAGCCTTCTCTGAAGAGCCCTTTTATTTGAGACAGGTAGTCTGCCACTAATCCAGGGTCTGGAAGAAACAAGCACTTACGTGAAACGACTGGCTTGGACCAAAGCTATGGCAGTGGAAAGGGGACAGAGTTTTTAAGCAGGTTTTGTTTCAGCCTTTTTTTCCAAGGGCCATCGGATGCAGCATTTGCTGGCAAAGGCTGTCTCTCCTTCATGGATCAGCTGAAGGTCAAGAACATACAGCAATCCGATACATGTTGAGGTCAAACAGCAAGGACGGGAGATTAATTGCTAAGCCTTAATTTGAGGCTTGCCATCGCAGCTCTAAGAGACATGAGTTTGAAGCAGGTACGTCAGCTTGTAGTAAGAAAATGGCTACTGTGGTTTTTCTGCGTTATCAATGACCCATGCAGTTATATGTCATTTGTCTTCTTTTGTCCATCCCATCTCCATCCCCCTGTTGTTGTCATCTTTGTCCTATCTATCGTCATTCCCCTGCCCCCCCCCCCCTTACCATTTGCTTCACAAATTCCTTTAAGAATTTTATTGCAAAGTTATTCCATAAGCCAGTTTGACATTTGAGAACAGCGACTCTGACATTGAGACACCTTTGTGACTATAAAAGTACATATCAACATACTTGAAGTTCAGGAGCCTTAGCAGTGGAACCTGAGGGGGATACTGGTCATCCCTAAAAAGGCTGGCAATTGAACATCTCCTTAAGATGCTGAATTCAAAGCAACTTTTAACACTTTGGTCTCTGAGCTCAGCTGTATTTGAATGCTTCCTTTTGACCATATAGATTAAAATTGCTCCATCGCTCTCTCACAGCTGTTTACATGTTCATATTTAAATTACTAAGGAAACAGACTGACCTCCCATCCTACTCTATAATGGGAACATAACAGTAGTGT